GCGCTTGAGGCGGCGCCCTCAGACGGCAGCGGCGATGCCGCACAGCCCGTCAAGAAGCGCGGCCCCTCCCAGCGCTTCAGGTCAGAGCCCTTGGCCCCCCTGCGACCCCCCATCTCCTGCTCGTCACGATCTGGCCATCACGCACCGCGCCCGTTGATGCTCGTCTTGTCGCGCAACACGCCACTGCATTTCGACTCCCGATTAGCAATCCATGTGTGCAACGCACGTTTGTATCTCAACATGGCACGTCCGCAGGGACCGCCAGAAGTCCCTCATCAGCACGCTTGAGCAGGAAGTCAGCGAGAAGCTGGCGCAGCTCGAGCTCCTGAGCCAGGAGAATGAGGTGCTGCGGCTGAGGAGCAGCGTGCTGGAGACGGCTGTCAAGGGGCGCGAGTGCCAGGCGAGCGCCCCGCCCGCCGGCTGCCGCGTGCTTACGTGCCTCGCGTGGTCCAGCAGAAGGCGGCGCAGCACAGCTTGCGCTGTCCTCGAGTATGTTGGTGTTTGCATGCGAACACGGTCGCCACTTGCAGCTGACTGTCGCAGCTGTGCTGAAAGTGCTCGTGACGGGTCAGAAAGTGTGACGGGAGCGTCTCTCTAAGTGTACTGTGCGCCCTGGTCCCGCGCCGCCACGCCCCCCAGATCTCTGTCATCCGCGACTATGGGATCAACTGGGGCGACGAGGCGGCGGCCACCACCACCGCCGCGCCCCTCTCCGCCGCCGCCGTCGCCGCCAGCGCCCACGACGCCGCCGCCGGCGGCCTCTGCGACCCCCAGGCGCCGGCGCAGCTGCGCGTCGGCAGCGGCAGCAGCAGCGCCAACACCGCCGCGCTGGCGCTCGCGGGGGCGCCCGTCGCGCACGCCGCGCCTGGCTCGCCGGGCCGCGACGCGCACGGCGGCAGCCGGAGCGGCCACACGCACGACGGCTCCGCGTGCGCCAGCGCGAGCGGGGACGAGGCCGACGTTGCCGATTGCGGCGGCGTCGGCGCCGCAGCGGCCGCGGGGGACGCCCCCCGCGCCCCGCGGCATTCGCGCGAGGGCACTGGCTCCGCCGCCTCGGACCACACGCGCGTCCCGCTGTGCCACTCCCCCGAGAGCTGCACGCCCGCGCAGCAGCGCGTGTGCGTGGAGCGCATGAAGCACATGACTGCAGATGAGGTAAAGGAGCACTGGCGGGACTTTCTGACAGAGGTGTCGAAGGAGCTGCTTGTGCTGCAGAGGATGGAGGAGGCCGCCGCCGCCGCCGCCGCTGGCGCCGCGCGCGTCTCGTCGCCGGGCCCCGCGCCCGCGCCG